GGAGCGGGGAGCAGAGCGCGAGCGGGCGCGCGCACGGGCGCTGCAGGGGCGGCAAGGCGAGGACGCGACTACGGGCGCTGCGTAGCCGGAGCAGGGCCTGCGGCGAGGTGTGCGCGAGTGCGTGGCAAGATACGGTGCGGGCGAGCTGCTAGGCAGGCTGGGCGCGGCTGGTGAGCACGAGCATGCTAGCTAGCGAGGCGCCGCGTTCGCGTGCTTGCTAGCTAGCTAGCCAATCGCCGCGTTCGCGTGCGTGCTTGCTAGCTAGCTACCCAGCCACTGCGTTCGCGTGCTTGCTTGCTTGCTAGCTAGCCAGCCGCCGCCGTATGCGAGCGCATGGCGTGCCCATCCGCCGAGCTGCACACTGCGTGGGCGAGCGTGTGGGCTGCGGAGAGGTCGCCATGGCGGGTGGCGGCCGGCGGGGCACGGGCTGGGCACGGGTGCGGTGAATCCGAACAACGCCGGTGCTCCTCGTCGACGCTAGTGGCGGCCCTTCGTGAAGTGTTCGATGAAATGTTTAAAGAAGGACATAGCCGGACATATTTTGGGTTGAGTCGGCCACGGTGGGCGCCTCGATGGCCTGACGACCGCATGCGGACATGCATGTCCGTTTTCCTAGCCTCAAACGAACGAAATCCGGACAAAACCAGACGTCCGTTTGGTGTCGTGCGGTGGAGTTGGCCTAAGGGCGTGTGCTCTCTGGCTCGGCTTTGGATGACTGTGCCTGCGCGGCTGTGCTTGGTCGCTTCGGCAGGGGCTGGTGATGGTCCACACACTTGAATTTCTCCTGCGCCCGTGCCGCGCCACGCGGGCTTCCCCAGTCCACTTGCTCTGGGACGCTGGGGTTTGCGACGACTGGCGAGAAGCCAGCTGGGGCAGGGAGGGTGGCTAGCGCTAGCGGCCAGTAGGACTTCGCCTTTTCGGGTGACCTGGCAGCGTAGCATCCCCATCTGGACTGTACTTTATTTATGAAAGCTACCGTGCCTATCATCGCTCCTTTGTGCTCCTACTAGTACTCTGGTGCTACAAAAGAAGGAATGGCAGAAAAATTGCCGGCTCAATTTCTGTTTTAAAGGAAGGGTATCATTTTCTAAAGGCGTCTAGATAATGTAAGGGTAGCATATGAAACCTTGCACTTCCTAAGAAATAAGAGAAGCAGCCAACAGGGTGTTACAGCGGTTAAGGCCGATATGAGTAAAGCATATGATAGGGTGGAGTGGAACTTTCTTGAAGCAATGATGACAAAGATGGGATTAAGTCACGAGTGGATCAACCTTGTCATGAACTGCATAAGAACAGTGGGGGCATCTCCATCTCCAGCCGGGCCCAGTCCTCCCGCGCCCACTTGATGGCGGCCTCGTCGGCGGCGGCCATGTCATCGTGCTCGCTCTTCACAGTGGCGAGCCCCGGCTTCGTCTTCGGGTTGACGAGGCGAGAGGTAGGAGCGGAGGAGGCACAACCGCCCTTGTTGATGACGAGGGCGACGTCGCGGGTGCGCTGGCCGAGCGGCGTCTCCACGGGCTCGGCCTTGACGCCGACGAGCGCCCGCGACCCGGAGGAGTGGGAGAAGGAATGGGAGGAGGAGGACCCGCCCACCATGCGCCTCGGCAGCCATGGGCCGCCACTCCCGCGGAGGGCCGGGGCCGCCGGGTACTCGAGCGGCGGATCGTTGCCGCCCTTGAGGTACTCGAGGACGGCGTGGAGCGTGTGGCCAGGGGCGCCCTACCACAGGCGGCGGTCATCGCTGTTGTTGCACCCCTTATCACCGGCGCTTTGTTGGTGGAGGTGAGTTGCTCCTCGTGGCAGCGTTGGAAGTACACTGCCTAGTGCGCGTGGTTGCCGGTGGCGTACTCCGGGAGGTCTCGCTCCTCCTCCGGCAGAGAGGCCCGAACACACTCGATCTCGGCATGGAAGGGGTCGGCCTCGATTGGCTGCGGGGGGATGGGGACGCCTCCAGAGCTGAGCCTCCATCGCCTCGACATGCGCATGTCAGGAGACACCGGGTAGTTCGCCTCGTGGAGGAGATGGGCTTCCCACTCGTGCAGGTGGCGGCGGCCGAAGCCGTTGGCCGCCGCTCCGTCGCTGGGGAACCGCTCTCCCATCGGCGGGGCGTACGTGCGGTGGCTTTAGACGGGGAGAGAGGAAGACAAGACGGGGGCGTCGACGACGAGATAGGGGCTGCGTGCCAGTGCGTCCACTAAGGAGGGAGGGGGCGGCTTTTATAGCGCCCGAGGGCGGCAAACGTGTGTACGCGTGGCGGGAGGGGGTGTGTCGCCGCACT